GGCTGAGTGTTTTGGCATGTCAAAACCCAGCGAATGGCCCTGCAGCCATTTTTCGATGTGCCGCGGCCCTTCACCGAGTTCGTGGGGCGTCCGCCACTGGGCGGAGATCGCAAACCGAAAACCGGGTCGTGGGTCGGGTCTTCTTAGAGTAAGGAGTCATGAGTCCAGGATGAGCTGCAACTCGTTGCGGAACTTGTTTTGAGCTTTCCCAGAATTGCTTTGGACTATTCGCTTTAGCATGATTTGCTAAAGCTGAAGATATGTTGCAGCGTGTGGAACGCTGATTTGATTCTGTGCAACCTGTCTCATGATTTGTTTCAAGCTTGTTCCGCATTACCTGTGCAACATGTCCACATCAACAGGGGCAAAAATGTGTCACTACATGCTTTTCACTTGGTGAGAGCTTTGTATGTTCTCCAAGAGAAAACGCAGTGAACTAGTGACTAGTTGTGCAGCCCAACAAAATCACTTATTTTATGGGGTCTACACTGAGTCAGTCTTCTTCGATCAGACCAATCAACATAGTCATAGTGCATATATACAACCAGTATACAACCATCATCATCTTGCTTCCTGTGGCTACATTTGTCGAAGGGCATAGTCGGGTATGGGATGGTATGTGATTCATGTGTACCACCCTGTTTTGTAGCGCCACGTCCTGTGATTTTCTTGTTACTCGACGAGCTTGGCTTAGGTTTGGGCGCCTGGCCATGTGCACGTCACATGGGACCTGCAGACTACCGGACGAAGGCAGTACTACACTGAAGAGAGTATCAGTATCTTGTGCTCGTTGCACTACTCACTGCTGCAAAGAAACCCATAATCCACTATACACTGTAACTTATTGTATTATATACATGAAGATATATATATATAGTGTTTTTTCTTGAAGACCACCAGCATGTCGTTGTTGTTTTTTTGCTGAAGAGGCTTTGAGTCTCTCCTTTGGTTCATGGACCTGTGACCGCGCCGGCATCCCACGTGACCGTGGCCGTTTCCCATGGCCAGGCCGCGTGAACCGCGTGAAGAAGCTCTCCTTGAAGCTTGGTCTAAGATTCGGGATGCCCCGTGCGACGGTTGATTAGGAACATAGTTTTAATTAGTTTTTCAAGCAACACGCAAGTAATAACATGTGAGTTCCTTTAAAATTTGACTACGAGAGCACGACATGATCTGAAGCCACCTTGGGGGCATGTTGAAGACCACCGGCCAGCTCAATGTGGGTCTTGGTCAGGAAACGCGGCCCCGATGCTCAGTTCGCTCCCCGACTTGGCGAGGCGCCACGCGCTCTTTTTGTGGGGAAAAAGCAAGGACGGACTAACGTATGATAGACATTACTCTAAGATGTGGGGCAGCTGAATCCTGTTCGCTCTTGCGTATTGTGGGGACCCTGAATCTTTCTGGGTTTTACAGTGAGAAGGTTTTCTACTTTGACTCCTGTGTCTTGGATACATGCGCCTTTCAGAGCCAAGAGTTTGCTCACCTACCATTGCAGGTGAAGCCGCTGCTGCGGCCCAGCAGGCCTCGCATAGCAACGTTTACCATGGAGATCTCAAGTTTGCCAGATTCTATGTTAGTTTCACCGATGGATGTAGAGAGTGCATAGGCATTGACACTGCAGTCTGACTTACAACCCGGTCGACCACTGGAGTCTTGAAGTGGCAGCATCAAGAGCAACAGCCATATAGAGCCGACCCATCTTGGAGAGTCATCGCCACAGTGGTCGGAGTCGGTCGACCACTCTCGCCCGGTCGATTTCGACAGGCCGCACAGTCCGCCAGATTTTTGGGTCGCAGCCGGGACGCCCACGGGAGGTGCTCGGAGGTCGAAGGGACATGAAGGGAATCCATTCATGACCTGGGCACTGGGCATGTCAAGAAACGGCAAAGGACAGACCTAAGATGCCTTGGTCTTAGCCCACGACCAGTGGGCCGTATACGTTGGTTTGATGTGAGATCCCAATTTTCTCCTACTAAACAGCGTTGTTGGGGTCATGTCCTAGCGGCATGGTGACATCCTTTGACAAAGAAACCGATACTGAAGTCGGGCGGAGAGCTGTTTTCGGGTCAGCGCCGCAAGCGAAAGGCCTGACAGAATCCCATGGGGAAGATCGTTCGATCAACGGAATGACAGATGGAAGGTTTCTCCAACCGTTTGGCGGCCAAGGGCACCGACCGCTTTTGCTACCAAGACGTTTCAGCCCTATGTTGGTTGCGTTTTGTTCCTGGCATGTTCCATCCAACCGAACTCATTTTGGTTGAGCTTAAACGTGCGGAAGCTCCGCGGCGCCTCAGTTGTGGCGACGCATCAAGATGTGGCGCTGCTGCCCAAGACGAAGCAAAGGTGCTGAGATTGATCCCTGTTCGAGTTTGTCACTGAATCCGAAGCTTCAACGTTTGTAACGCACACCTGCCATGCCTGGCAGAACTATTAATTATACTCATTAAGGGTCATGGATTAGAAGATGACACGTGCCCTGCAGGGATACTCAATGTCAATGTTACTTGATTATTCAATTCTTCACATTGCTGGCGCAATCAGTGTCTACGATTTTGCCGTACACCTGTTACACCGTTTACACCGGCGCAAACAGCGTAACCAGTGTGGCCAGCATGATCACATCCGCCATGACAAGTGCCAGCGCATGATGGTTCGCGGACACGCTTTGCCATGTTTCTTCTTAGTTATTCATATGTTTTGATGTGTTTAACTTGGGTTATATAATGCGTTATATATCTTGGTGGACTTCCCTTGTTAGAGGCTGTGTCCGATTCCGCGGCTCCGTGCGTGTGCTGTCCTTCCCGCGAGCTTTGTGCGGCTGGGGGGCCAAGCATGAGCGCCAAAGCACCTTTGTTGCTTCAGCGAATCGTCTTTCTGCGGAAGATGTAAGTTTGTAGCCCAACTTGCTTTTAAGGCTCACTAAGACATCCAAACACCGGCAAGTTGGGCTACAAACATCGTTTGGGAAATTGCATGAAATTTCCAGAATTGAAGTCGTTTGAAGACATCGAAACACCGGCATGCAGTGCTGCACATCGCATGGGGGCTACTCTCCGCGTGGAGAACTCGCTCCCCGTGCCTCACCAGGGGGCGACGCCGTGCCCACGGATGGCTCCACGGTGGCTTTGGGGCTGGGGCGAACGCCAGCAGAGAGCGAGGCACAGCGGCACAGCGTCATAACGGCGTCAGGCATGTTGTCATGTCTTTTCACGTGCCTTGTGCGAATCGTCGAGAGAGTTGGCGCAGGTGTTCCAATGACATCGATTCATTGTTTGGGTGCCCTGACAACTAGTCATTGATCAGAGACAATCTACATCTCAAAAAAGCTTGGACTTGTGCGCGAAGAGTGGACCAAAATATAGCCTTGAAGGGTATGGAAAACAAAGTCTTGAGAGCCTTGATCTATACCTGTACCTTGATTGATAACCGTTTCTTTGTACAGTTTGTAGGGGGTAGAAGAAGTGCTGAACCCAGATGCCAGGTGCGCCACCCTAACCCATCCTGAACTCATCTGGCTGCAGGCACGCCTTGCTGGACCTAGACCTCAAAGTGATCAGATTTCATGGATGCCCACGGAGATGCGTCCGGGCCGCCCAGAACGGTCCAGACGGGATGGGACGGACCTCCGCCGAGCGTTCGTGGTGGGCGGTGGGCGGCTCTGGGGTGCAGCTCTCAACGGAAGGAGGGGTGGGGCGGTTCTGGGAAGGGGCCACTTGGAATTCCAAGTCACATTATGCGTTTCGTTGTTGAAAAGAAGCGAATACATTCGAAGAATACTTGCATCAAGAAATCAATGAGCCCTAAAATAAAGCTCCACTACCGTGAGTCTCACTGACACTGAGCCTTTCGCTTGATGTCCGGATGCTGCGTCATTGGAAGGCTACAATGCAATAAACAGCTTGTACATGCTTGTACTCTGTGATACTGTGGTGTGTTTCCTCCTCAAGACCTGGCGAAGCCTAACGTTGACGGATTCTGTTTCCACACCGCGACGTGCCCTGCTATTGAAGACGACATGACTGAACTCGGCGGCCCTCCAAGATCCTCCAGTCGGTCACAGACGGTGGTGTGTGGTTCTAAGTTCTGGTCAGTTGTGATCTCTTAGAAGATGCCCCACCAAGGTGAGCGCGTCTTGGTGGAATCCATGGGCAAGGAAGGCTTTGCCAAAGCTCAGGAGCTTCATTTAGCTGAGATGACGCCTGCCCAAAGTCAGTGCCCCCCATTTGGATTGTAACACCTCTTCATATGTCATACATAGTATACAATATATATATAATATGGGGCGTATATATTATTACTATAGGTTTGATCTTGTTTTAATATATGTTAATCAAGAGTCAAGAGTCCACATTAGGTTCTTCTCACAATGCATTTACAGGTTTGAGCCATTCTCAATTCTCACATCTCCATTGCCTTTCGTTTGCTTGTTTGAAGCACTAAGGACTCAGGTCATTGGACAAAGACAGAGCTCGGCTCAGGACGGGATCCAAAGCTCAGTCCCGTCGCGGTTCAGTCGCGCCAAATGGGCGAGTTCAACGGAATTTGCGACACTCTAAGTGACTTTCATGAGATGTTCCAGATTTTTGACCGCGTTTTCTTGTTGCATTTTAAAACACACGAATCACCCCGAGATGAACACATGAAGACCACCACGACTTCCTTTTTTTCGGGACCGCCTTTTGGAGTGGTGCTCGATCTGGCAGATGCTGTTTGAACTAGTGCTCGATCAGCTTTGGCTCAAACCGGGCCTTTTTCGATCATGGGCGCACGGGTGACAGGTGTCGGTGTCAGTGAGCACATATGGCCACATTCAAGCCCGCAGGCAGAAAGGCAATCAAGTGTGTCACATTCTTTTGTTGCTCAGAGTCTCAGAGCGGAATAATCATCTCCAGTGCGCAACGAAATTGCAAAGCTTGCGGAGTTGGGCGTCGCCCACCATAAACCAACCCGAAAGCAAACTTTGCGAAGATCAAGTTTTCAAATAATCTCTTCAGGAAGACGGTGTGACCTGTAGTTTATTACTTTTTCTAGCTCCCGCCGCCATCCGCCGCCATTGCCTGAGCATCCAAAGAGAAGCGAACATCGGCAGTGGCGCTTGGTTCCTGGTCAGCAGCCATTTCTTGGCTTGTTTTGGACTGTCACTACCGCTACGGAAATCTCAGGAGGCAGAAGAGCACCTAGGTTCTTCTCCATTTGTGAGCTTTGTGCGACTGCATCACGCAGTGTTTGTCTCTGCTTCAATGACTAGGAGCTTTCTGAAGAGGATGGTTCTCAGCTTTGTTGCTGCCCACTTCGGGTGTGATGAGATTGTTTTTGTTTGCTATCGATGGCCTTCCACTCACAGACCATTTGAAATGTGCAGTCCCACTCTCAAGTTAGGATGTGAAGCACATCTAGGATTGATGAGGTGGCATCAACAAAGACACCAATGACAAGCCATTGCCCAATAGAGGTCAAAGCTCAGACTGAGGCGAGTTGTTTGAGGCCAAGGATGGCCAAACGGAAGAGACCTGAGGAGGCTTGGAAGTGTGGAACGTGAATCCAGAAACCATCAGAAACCTCAAGTCAGGCAATGTTGGAGATTGTTGGGTCCAGCAGCTACTTGTGTTGTAAGATGGATTGTTTGCATGTACAGTACTTAGGTAATTCTATTTGCGGTGATTCCGCAGATCTATTTCTTGATATTTCTGGTATTTCGATGTCCGTGTACTAGGATGAACTGCAAGGCCGAGTAGTTGAATAGTGGCTTTCGTGGGTAGGTCCTTTCAGTAGTACTTTGAAAGATACATGGCGAATCATCAGACTCACAGGAAACGTATCTCTCCTCATGCCATGGTGTGCAGGAGGAGGCTTTGGAAGAGGAGGAATCTGAGGATTTCTTGGGGAAACGGGTCTCGGAGTTCTCGGACCTTGTTCACTCTGAATGAGTTGCACAAACAAATCCATGGAAACTCGTTGGTCGGAAACCAGTCGTATGCATTCGTAAACCTTGTTTTTGGCTGACTGGAATCTTCCTTCTCTCGCAAATGTCGAAAGGAAATTCCTGGCTTAGATTGAAACGGACGGATGTATATAATGAATTCATTCTATAGCTATTATGTTGCAATATCAATCTATAGCAATGCGGGACCTGAGTTGTGCCTCAGAACAGATTCATGTTGCTGGAACAAGTGAGGACTTCCAATGAAAAGAGCTCCAGGAGTGTGAAGAGGAGGAAGAAGAGGAAGAGGAAGACGGAGAAGGAGATGAAAGCGAGTTGGACATCAACGTTGATGACAATGGCCGTATTTGCAGCACGGAAGGACACGCAACTCATTGGGAAGGTCTGTTCGGTGTCATTAGTCATCATAGTATGGCCTGTTTGAAGCCGACAAAGAAGCAGCAAAGCCATGGTAAGCCAGTAGCACGTTTGCACAACCCTTCAACCCCCCTCCGTAGACTTGAATCCAAATTACGAAAGCCAGCCGATAGGCTAGGCTGAAGCTGCGAATGAAGTGAGAGTTTAGGGGGTTTGGGGGGCAGGTACGGAAAAGTGCATGTAAACCATGTTAGCCTGCTGGTGATTTACTTTGCCAAGGAGGTGGGTGATGTTTGGTGGGTTAGTGGGTCATTTGCATCAGCAACCTGCTCGTCCCGACACGTGTATTGTCATATTGAATGTTTGGGTGACCTTCTACTCAGACTTACGCAGACTCACGCCGGCCAAAGGCAGGACGCACATTTGCTTCGTAGCAGGTGTAGCAGGTAGTTGCTCCTCGCCGCCTCGTTTTCGCCTTCTCAGGTTGGGTCAAATTCCACATGCTTTTGTGCCGACAATCCGTGAGACACTTCGAAGTCTTTTTGCCTAGTTATGACGCAACATCCCAAAATATACCGTGAGAACTGGCAACAAAGAACACTTCCCGGATCAGCGCATGTGTTGGACTCATCGATGTCAACCCTTTTTGAAGCTTGCACAAAGTCGCTCTAACTCTTAACTCATTCTAACTCGACTCCAATATAACTCTCAGCTCACATACGTCGCGTCCGATCGCATCCGACACCGGAAACCGTGCTCACAGACTCAGGACCACTGACTCGGTCCATGTGCTTGGATCCACCGGTGCGTGTCTTTGATGGGATCCTCCCCATTGAGCACCTCGACGCCTTGAAGGAATGCTGCCGGACCTTCTTCCAGGCGGCGTTAAACGTAAACGGTCTGCAACGGAACGGACGGGAGTTGCAACGGGTGAAACGGACCTTTTTTGTGAGGACCATGTGAAATGGCCTCAGGTTCTTCCATTTTAAAGTTTTAAAAATCTGGTTGTACCTAATACTGTAATTAATTATTGTTGAATAACGTCGTCTTACCCGTCCAAAGTAAGGCTTGTAGCTTCAGAGGGCAGGGCGTAGAAACTGAAGCAGCTTAGCTTGGCAAGCAAAGATGAACCTTTCCCCGCAGGATGCGTGTTTCAGAATTTTGGCCCCCCTGCGGCAATGCAAGACTTGGTGAAATTTCTTCAGCACATTAGTTGAGATGTTTCAAGATTGGAGATGCCGAAAGAACCTTGCCAGAGTCAGAGGCGGCCCGTTTCAATTGCTGGCAGTAGGAGGATGGAGCACCGACTTCAGCGACACACTTCGTTCTTGTGGGAAGGTGGAGGAATACAATGATGTGCAACCAAGGGGCGACGACACGAGGACTTTCATTGACACCTGTATGTTCCGCTGTATACGGCACTGCATTGATCAAACATCAACCAGTAGACTCAGGGCATGGATACAGCGAGTGCATAGAAGTTTACAACCAACACATTGTCCAGTCTCAAAGTTAGGAACAGACCCCAGGCCCTGCTAGGTTACTGTAACCTCGATTCTAATTTTAGTATATTCATCTTGATGAGTCAACCAGTCCCCCCTGACCCCACAGGGGCTCGTGTGGGTAAGAGAATTCTCAGGCCAAGCCAAGCCGAGGGCGAAGCTTGGAAGGGGTGGTGGACTTGGGGGTCTCGGGAAATCTGCAAGAAACATTCATGAAACTCCGGGGGTTTTGAATAAGGGCTGAAATGGCCAGGTTTGGGTCCATCGTCAGCGCCTGCCTGTTGCAGGAAGACTCGGTTCTTTTTCGCTTTGAACATGTAGATAGAATGGTTTTTCACCACGAAATGACCTGGCAGACCCTCGCGGCCGGCCAACCCTCGCGTTCTGAGGATATAGTTCTGGCAAGACCTTCTGGTCCGAGTGGAATCAAGCTCCAAGATGTGAGCTGGAAGCCCTTGCGTTCCTTGGTTTTTGGCTCACTTCCTGGGCTTTTGTTGCAAACAACGTGTGAGTTTTGGGTTTCGGAGGCTTTTGGGAGTGGGGTTCAAGAAGGCCATGGGCCTGGGAAGACGAGGGACCTGGAGTGTCGAATTTAAGCGCTTAAGGGTTACCGCATGCCACACACTAGTGTAGTGTGCATATACAAGCTGCCTTGGATCACAAGCAATAGGGTTTGCACAACAAGCGGGCTAGAAAGTTCCGTGTGAATGGACAAATATCATGCTTGATACTGACGGTGCCTCAGTCGTTTGCACATGTGGCAAACTCACCTCCCCCGGCGCCCCCCGCTTTGGTAGAGGAAGGTCATGGATAGTTTTCCAAAGCCTCCTTGAAGAGGAGGCAATTCTGGGGAAGCGTAAAGCGAGAGTCAATTCTCTCCCGAACCTGACCACCAGCCCTCTCGAGGCTGGCCATTTTACATCAGCACTGTCCCTCCCCCGCGGCGAACGCTGGGGTGGAATGGTGGACCCTTTGTTTGGATACTTGGCTCGGATTGGAAGGCTGCGACTGCACTTGAAGGTCAATTCTAGAGTGTTTGTTTGCTTGGCCCATGAACCGATGAACACCCATCCACACCAGATGCTGTAAATCTCTGAGGTGTTGTTGTTCAAGCGTTTCGGTTTGGTGACCTCTTGCTACTATTGGAGGGCTGAAATCAAGCTGGATAAGTTATATAATAATGTTATTTTCGTGAAAGAGCTTCCAACATGTCGACACAACTTTATTGAAGAGGAACGGCTCGGCTGTTTGAAACCAAGGGCCAAGGGCATGCGGCATACTTGTTTTCTTGTCATTGGAACAATAAAAACATTGTCGCCACAGAGAATGGTGTTGCCTCCATTGAATCTTCCAAACTAACTACCGCGTGCCTAACGTCCTGCCAAGGTATTGGAAGATCTAGCCTAGCATTCTCAACCCCCTGGCCCTTTGGGAGAGCGACCAATCGCTTTGATGTAAAGCCGTTTTGCGACCACATATGATTCATATGATGTGTATGATGATGTATCAAAGTTAACACGCAGAGCCTCCTCTTTATATTCAGTCTGATTTGCATGGGCAAAGTAAACGTAACTGACGAGTTGTACAGCGCTTGGGGAGATTGGGCTCTCAGCATTCTTGTTGTTTCGTCTTTGGAAAAGCCGCTCGTCTGAGCTGTTTTAAAAGAATCTCAGGATGAAAGCTCTGAAGTGGCGTGGCATTGGGATCGTGACTACAGCCTTGAGAGATCTGGAGTCAATGTGCATCCAATGCTTGGTACGGTCACATATTTGTCACAAGGAGAAGACTCCGACTCTGCACAGCTCAGCAACCTGGTGCCAGCCAAGCAGTCCAGTACAGATACTCCATGATACTCCGATTGTTGACCGGTGTACTTGGATAGGGGTTTCGTCTTACGTGAGCTGAAACTATTGAATTGCAAGTCCTTCAGCCTTTGATATGGAGCTATTACATGCTAGAAGCGACCAACGACAACATACGGGCTTGTCTTTTTTTAAGGTGTCCAGTTTATGTAGGGCTGGGATGTTCGACTTAGGCGAAGCATACCCCGAAGCATACCCCCGAAGCATACCTCCGAAGCATACCCCATAGTCAAACATCCCGGCCCGGGAACCTTAAAAAAATACAAACCCCCAGACCCTGCATCAACCCGACAGTTCTGGTGCTTTTTGACGGGCTGATGAGCTGCTCTCCATGCGACCGTGGAGCGTGCGCTCTCGGCTGAGGTACACTGACCTTGGACGTGCTGTCCTCGGTGCAGCGCACGGGCGAAGATGTGATGTTGCCGCCCTCGGGCGGCAGCGCCTGGTGCACGGTGGTGCCACCAAGGTATGGGTAGTTGTTTCCTTTGGAGTCCTCAAAGGGCGGAGGGGGATGCAAAGTTTTGGGGAGTGGAACTTGTAGTTGGAATTGCCAAAAGGATCCAACAAGTCAGTTTACAGTTTACATGCATCTTTCTTTTGCCTGAATCAGAAAGGAGGAGCCACGTAGCAAAGTGTGGGTCTCAAACATTGCAAATTGGCCTCCGACGCAGGCTGGGTCGGCACCTGGCCTTCGATGGCCGTTTCCTGCATGGCGCGACGGCGCCGAGAACGCGGCCATGCCGTGGGCAGCGTGTGACTTTTCTGGTGCGCTCCGTTCGTAGTGTACGGCCAGGAGCCCCTAGTAGCGAACATGGATAGAGTGGGCTTGCACCAAAGAAGATTTGAAAGGATGCTGCGAGAACAACCTCAGAGTGATTCTCCGAAGCACACGCAACAGAAGAGCACGATGGGGCACATGCATGACAAGCACTCGTGGTGCCAGGCCAACATTTGGGTCGGCCATCAGCCAGGCCTGGACAAGCACAGTAAGTACATGTCATGTACAAGCTTACCAAGGACTCGACTTATAATTACGGACTTCTTCTTCAAGTATAGAAAACACATAAAGATTAGGCCAATCGGAATATTCACCGCACACTGGGACCTTTACCGAGCCGCGTGGTAGGCAATGCATCCCCATTGCCGACAGACTTGCAAGCCTTCACAGGGCCTGAATCTATGCGCAGTGTCGACAAGGTGGGAGTGACTTGTCCCCTCTGACTCACCAACGACACGAAACCAGGAGAGGAGAGTGGCCGTCCCGCCATTGACTTATCTAGACTTCCATGTGATTGAGTCGGAGTGGCGTCCATCGCAGCAAGAGGTCCGTTCAAGAGACCAGTGTTAACATGCTGACCAGGTCTGTCTTAGCACCAATGTCCATGTCCAAAACTTCCGCAACATTCAACAGATTAATGCCACAACAGATTAATGCCGCAACAGATCTACAAGATGGGCATTCCATCTAGATTAATGTAGACTCTTGCACGATTTGGATTGTAAAGCCTCTTCATATTGGGGGGTGGGTATTAGTATCAATCAAGAGTCTACATTACATGGATTGGGAAATCATTTTTGGGCATCCTCCATCCCTCAAATGATCTCACATGTTATCTTTGTGCGTTGACCATGAAGTGAGCTAAGATTGAACCAATGCCAAGAAAACAACGGCCGCGTGAGCCTTTGGTCCGAACAAACTCTCCAAGTCAGTGGCAAGATTTGCCAAGCAAAACTGTGTAGTCTTGAATCAAGCTGTGTAGAGTCTTTAGCTCCCTGTGAGCTTGAGGCACTGAGCTCTCCATTCCCATTGCCAACGCAAGCCAAAGTGGTGGAGGCAATGTTAACAGCGGATTTACACTCCGGGAGAGATTGGCATCAAACTGATTTGGGTGCGGCCAAAACCAACTGACCCCCAAAGCCCCACAAAAACAAGAATCCCCAGTATTGGGCTGAAGGGGGTGCTGAATCTACGTGAGACACACAGTGTGACTCAATCTAACACAGATAGCAAAGACAACCTGCCAAATGACTAGAAATGACCCAACCACCGTCGGAAGCGTGCGAAGCCTGTGACATGTGGAACTCTCCGACAGGTTTAGCATGTTGCCAGTTTTGCAAAGTGTTTTTCACATGACCCAAACCATCGTTGGTGATGACAGTCATTGTTCTTTCTCATCCCCCATTTTGAGACAAATTTAGCAATTTCCCCCCTGTGCAGATCGCTGCGAGCGATGAGATCAAGAACTTCCCTTTGGAGGGCGGGGAGCTGCGTGTGGTGCCACCACCAGGCAGGAACTGCCGCGAGCCGCAGATTTCTGTTGTACCACCAATGTGGGGAGTGGGTTAAAACCTGGAGCCCCAACACCATGTAGCTTGACCTATTTTGGTTTTGACCCACAGCCACATAAGAAACAGGGCTTTCAGTCCGCCCATGCTTACCTGTAGTAACAACTGGATCCACTGGGTGTGGCACCATGTCGACGTCCACAGAACACCCCTTTGCCGTCCATTTGCAGACTATCATCATTCCTTTGATTAGTAAGTCACAACTGTACTTCACATTGTCACGTCAACTTCGTTGCGCCCATCCATGTTTTTGCATGATCTGGCCTACCCGGCTGCTGGGTGATCGCGTATCTGTTGCAGGGGGCAACGACCTCGAGGTCCTGTCTTATATGACACCGGCCTCTTGGTCACTGTGTATAGCCCGTCGCTACAAAAAGCCAGCGCCAGCTACGGCTCCCAGCAGCTCTGGCAGCCACAGCCACTGCCACAGCCACTGACCCCTGCGCCGGCTGCCAGCCACAAAATAACGGTTGCAGCGATGTCAAAGGTTGTGACGCTTGTGAGTTGTTTTGTGGGGACCATTCTTCGCCGCAAAAGTAAGTCAGAACATGATTTTGAGATATTGGATGCTATGTTTTGCTGTGCTTTTTGACAGATACTTAGGGAACCCGCTCTGAACCATGTGCTGACGGTGAAAGTGAGACCTTGAGACCTGCAGGACGACAAAGACATGGTCCTGATGCCACAATCCTTAGAGGTCGCTGGGTGGGCCGCCAGCAGCACCGTGAGTTTTGCATCACCTTCGAAACCACTCAGCCTGGTCTCGCATTCCTTCTCTTTTCATCCAGCAACTAGCCATTGGATGTTTCGTACTCCAACCAGTCAACCAGTCAGGAGGCTTGCCATCGGGCACGTGAGCTCACTGACGAGGCAGCTTTTGGGATGGTTGTTGGATGGGCTTTCCAACCATACCACGAAAGACCCCATGAGACCTCCTTTGGAAATCTTTGGAACTGATTCAGGAGGAGGTGTGTTTGTTGGTGCAGCTCTTAGTGCTCTGTAAATGTAATGCAGTTGTAGCCAAATTCTTTCTGAAAAGATCTGCAGGCCGGGAGAAGCCAGCCCACTGAACTCGTGACAATTTTGCGAAGGATTGATATGACTGCTTTGTACGAAACATCTCCAGTTCCACTTCCACTGCATACATGTTCATGCCATCTAGTTCCATGAAACCATCCGATCTCACAACTTGAGCATGGTCAAGAGCATTTCCAAGCCATAGGCTACATCCCAGCCACCTTTTGGCAAGTCCAGAGTAAGCGAATAAAGCAATACTTGCCGAAAATCCACCACTGCCATCCAATGACCGCTATTCAGGTCGCTGCCCTCCACCGGGAGGCCCGGCGGCAGGCCGCGCTGCGGCGCTTGGATGAGGCGCCCTCGCCCAAGGCGCAGGCAGCGCCGGCGCCAGGCACGGACAAAAACGTCGTACAGAGCTTGATGAGTTGTGTTTGAAGGGTGCTGAGTTGTTCGCAGTGCAAGGTAGAGATGTGTAGGGGAGTGGGGTCTCATGGTGTTGCAGTCTATTTCTGGGCCACATTCATAGCTAACAAGTACAACCATTCACCTTGCTCGCGGATGTTGGTAGGGGAAATCATGGGAAATCATGGTCCAACCTTCAAACAAATTTGGAGAGAGAAACTCGTTGGGATACTCATGATTTCTAGAAATGAGCTTCGGGCAGATCACTTCGGCCTGCTCGAGGTAAGAAAACACGAAGTCCAGGCTTTGGCAAGGCACGCTTGGCTGCGAAGAGGAAAGTCCGGCAGGCTGGACACTCGCTTCGTGGAACATCGATCTGAAAAAGACCTTGAACCACCAAATACAGACTGTACAGCATTGGGGTAATGACGGTCACTTCATGGTTCTTGAGGGCAGGCTGGCAATGAATGATTAACAGACACAGATAGGACAAAAGTTGGTAACTGACATGAAATGACCTACAGAACCCTGTCCTCTTAGAATCCAGAGGCTCAGTGGAACGACGTAGGACCTTCCACCCCGAAGTAACGGACACTCCTCGGCCGGAATTCCATATTGGGAACGAGATCTCTTCTGGATTCTGCAGAGAGAGTGTTACCAAACTTTTGTCCTCCTGAAGTATGTGAAACTTCGGGGCAGGTCGCAAGGATTCATTGGCCAAGCTGGAAATCAGAAGTCTCTATCGACTTCCAAGTTGATTTTGACACTACGTATGGTTTGCTTTCTGCATAGCTGCAAAGGGCAGGATACTGATATGAGCGCACTAGGATTCATGGTAGGATGACCACATTTTGTTGTATTCATTACGCATCCATAGAAAGCAGGTTTGCAATTTGCTAATTATAGCGACTTGGGCATCAACACACAAAACACGTCGTAGATCCGCTTCAGAAGTCATGATGGAAATGGAAACTCCTGATCTGCACGAATCGCATGTGCACACCGTTTGAAACTCGATATTTAGAGTATCAGTCATGCAGCATGCATAAATCACTTGGCCGTTGCAGGTACGCCACCAGGCACAGATATCCAAACAGCAGCTGAAGGCGACTTGATCGTTTAGCTTGGACAACATATTGTCCCTCGCTGGGCGAATCACAGAGAGGAACTCCAAAATGGAGAGCGTGCTTAAATGGTACTACACCACAAATGTTCAGAATAGGCTATGCCAACTATTTCTGAATGTTCTTTGTGCTCTGAGTGAACAAATCTCTTGGGTTTCCGTCGGTGGTAGGGCGTGCATGGGCTTGCCATGCCTGTATGCCTAGCAGCTTTCCACTCAAACCTGTCACTACTTGTGCCAAGTTTGATGAAGGTCGCGTTGTCCATTTTTTGTTGATTCCATGGGTAGGATTTTGATGGGGCATGGGAAGTGATTTGTTTGATCCGACTGGCAGCCCTGACTGAACTGTTCGTTTTCGACCGAGACGGGGTTGACCCATCAACTGCACGTCCTCATTCTTGGCTGTTTCGCGACATGACTGTTACTAGTAACTAGCTACTTGCTCCGTTCGTAGTACGGCCAGGAGCTCCGAACTCGTAGCGTCCGAATGCTCCGGACTCGTAGCGATGCCGTTCCTTTGGGAGCGTCCTTGTTGCTACTCTTCGGATGCGGCAGCGATGCGGCACACGGCCAGGAGGCTGCTTTGAAAGATGTGGTCGCTTGCTCCCCAGCCAGGTGAGGGTTGACGGGTTCAACTCATGACGGCGTTGACGGGTCGGGGCCTTCCAGTTCCCAGGTGGCGTGCACACGGGCGTCCCGTGGTCTTGGTTCCTGAGTTGGTTTTCTGCTGCTTGCAGCGTTTTGCACCTAGTTTCCTCTTCCCAGATTGGTCTTGAAGAAAGAAACAACGTATTGTATAGATCTCTTATGACGACACGACCCCATTTGTTTCGGGTGGGATGATATGAAGGTCTTTCCCCAGGCGTTTGCAGTCTTTGTTTTGGTTAGCTTCATTTAGCTTCAACGATCTTATGCCTTCCTTCCCGAAATTCCATGTGCCTAAATCAACAGATACGGTATACCTACATATTTTAATTATAGGCTGCTTACGATGGACACACTGTAGGGCCTAGGCCCGGAGAAGCTCCCTAGGTTGCCTCCGGATGTTCGCAACCCATGCGATACTCGAGCGTAACTGACTGGTTTGTGACTACGTTGCGATACGGAGATATACCACTATCTCAGTTCCTGACACAGTTGCAGGTACTCGTAGATCAGGAAAGGACCTTTAGATCGATTGTTCAAGATAGTTTTTTTCCCGAAAGCATTGCGAAGGGTTCTTCCGGAAAATCCCTTGAACACTGACACTTCGACACTTACACTTACACACTGACACTTCCACACACACACACACACACTGGAAGAGCGAAAGCATCCAAGTGCGAAGTATGCCAGTGCAAAGTATGCAAGTGTGAGTATGCAATGATATGCAAGGGTGAGTATGCAAGCATGCAATGAGCATGCAAGCATGCAATGAGCAGGCAAGTGTGAGTATGGAAAACTAGCACGGGAGATGTCCTAATGAAAAAACATTTCCCCACTTTATAAATTCTCTCTTAAAGGCGGAGTGCGGGACGAACAGCGTCAACCGAAAGTGCAACCCTCTGCGGAGATCGTGCGTGTCGAGTGCGCGAAATGCAGGCGAGAGTGCGATCTGCCGGGTGCGCGCGCAACCCTCTGCGGAGATCGTGCGTGTCGAGTGCGCGAAATGCAGGCGAGAGTGCGATTTGCCGGGTGTGCGCGCAACCCTCTGCGGAGATCGTGCGTGTCGAGTGCGCGAAATGCAGGCGAGAGTGCGATTTGCCGGGTGTGCGCGCAACCCTCTGCGGAGATCGTGCGTGTCGAGTGCGCGAAATGCAGGCGAGAGTGCGATCTGCCGGGTGCGCGCGCAACCCTCTGCGGAGATCGTGCGTGTCGAGTGCGCGAACTGCAGGCGAGAGTGCGATTTGCCGGGTGCCCGCGAAACCCTCTGCGGAGATCGTGCGTGTCGAGTGCACGAAATGCAGGCGAGAGTGCGATTCGCCGGGTGCCCGCGCAACCCTCTGCGGAGATCGTGCGTGTCGAGTGCGCAAAATGCAGGCGAGAGTGCGATTCGCCGGGTGTCCGCGCAACCCTCTGCGGAGATCGTGCGTGTCGAGTGTGCGAAATGCAGGCGAGAGTGCGATTTGGCGGGTGCCCGCGCAACCCTCTGCGGAGATCGTGCGCGTCGAGTGCGCGAAATGCAGGCGAGAGGCGTGGAGTATCTGGGGAGCTGGGAGATGAGCACTGGTGACTTTGTAGTACAACTGTAGTACGCGGAGTAGCTGGGGAGCTGGAAGCTCAGAACTGGTGACTTTGTAGTACAATAACTTTAGTACGCGGAGGAATCTGTGGAGCTGGAAGCTGAGAACTGGCGACTGCGCAGTACAACGTTAGTACGCGGAGTATAGCTGTGGAGCTGGAAGATGAGAAGTGGCGACTTAGTAATACAACTTTAGTACGCAGAGTAGCTGGGGAGTGGGAAGAAGAGAACTGATGAGTGGGTAGTAGGTGAGAACTCGCGACTATGTAGTACAACTTTAGTACGCGGAGTAGCTGGGGAGCGGGAAGATGA